GAGGAAAACTATCCTTTGGACAAGCTTTGTTCAAGCTAGTGAAGTCAATGTAGACGTGCCATTTACCGTTAGCTTTCTTAACTAATACTACATTAGAGAGCCACGCGGGGTAGTGAACTTCTTTTATAAAATCAGCTCATAAGAGCTTATCAACCTCCCTACCTAGTACAAGGCTACGCTCAGTATCGACAGGTTGAGTTTTTTGCTTTAGAGGTATAAAAGAAGGATCTACGTTAAGCCTATGAACCATAATGCTCGAGTCGATCCCCTAGCATGTCTTCATGCGATCATGCAAACACGTCAGCATTTGCTCGTAGGAAAGTGATGAGCTATGTCTTGGTCTTTGCCCCTAGCTTGGTATTGATGCTTACTTGCTTATCTGGGCTCAGGAGCGGCACGAGCTCGAGTTCCTCAGCTGGGGTCTGCGGGTTGGCTCATCCAACGGTGGAGCCTAACTGTAATAGCTGCACAGGTGGCAAAGCCTTTTAGTGCTGTTGTATAGCATTCTCTTGACATTTCTACTCGCTTTGAATGGTGGCTATCCCTACGGCTGTCGGATACTTCATCATTTGGTGGTAGGTTGAAGTAATCGTCTTTAACTGATGTATGAAGGGTCGGCCTAATATATCGTTGTAAGCCGAGGTCTTGTCAATCACCACAAACTCGACGATTAAGGTGACCTGATGCTCCCTTTCATAAAAAATGACCGGGAGTGAGATATAGCCTTCGACAGTTATTGATTCTCCAGCAAAACCTACCAACGGTGTAGGGCTCACTTCAGCTGAGCTGGTTCCCATCCGAGGGCCGAGTACACTGACATGGAGAGTACGTTGGTCGAAGCTCCTCCGTCTATGAGGACTCGCTTGACCATAACGTGATCGATCAACGGGGTGATGACGATGACGTCGTTGTGAGGAAGATAGACGCCCTCCATATCTTGCTCGTCGAACGAAATCGGCAAGATCTGCTCTTTTGAGTATGAGGTGAATACCTCTTGCGCTGCTTCTCTGATCAGAGCCTTGTACTTCTGTCTTGACCGACTCCCGATGGGCCTACTAGAGATGGTATTGATTACAGAGGGTCAGTCACCGGTTCGTCGAGGTGGTGTTTGGGACCTTTTCCTGTGGTTATCCTTTGTGGAGGTGGTCGGCTCGTCCTTGTCACGAGAGCCAAAATATTTCTTCAAGTACCCATGTCGAATGAGATCCTCGATCCGATCTCTCAGTGCATAGCAAGTCGAGGTGTCATGGCTGTGGTCCTTATGGAACCGGCATTACTTCATTTTGTCTTTCTTGCCGGTCGGCTTGAGGGTTTCCCTGGTGGTGAGAGTAAATTCTCAAACCCACGTTCCTCTACAACTGTTAAAATTTCGGCTATAGGTTTGTTAGTCGGCGTGTATTTGTCTAACCGAGGTCCCCTCTTAGACTCGGATTAAGTATCACTATGCTGATCGGAAGGCTTCTCGTCGGGTCGGTAGCTGGAAGTGCGGTTGTTGTCCCGCCACTGTTTCCCTGCCAAAGCGCAAGGCCATCGATGTACCTCCGGGCGCAAATTAGTAGTTCATTCAAGGAGGTGGTTGGCTTGCTACCGAGCTTCATTACTAAGTTCTTGTCGTTCAGCCTGGTGGTGAAGTAGATTATGGCCATTTCATTTGTACAATTCACCATAGTTACGTGCTCATCCATGAACTGCATGATGTAATCAGTCAAGGACTCACGCTCACGCTGCTTAATTGTCCTGAGGTGGGATGTGGGAAGCTTCATCAATTGTCGGGCTGAAAACTGGTTGATGAACATCTTGTACAGCTGCTGATAGATTTTGGCTTCAGTTGTCGGTACCATAGTCGAGTCGAGCCCTCTAGAGCAATCTGGAAGGCTCGACATTTAATGGCGTCACTAGCAGTAAGGAACTCCATCTTGCCCTCAAATATTTCCACGTACAAGATAGGGTCCCCTGACCCATCGTACGGGTTCATCGTAGAGGCCTTGAATTTATGGGGGATAGTCTCATCTAAGATGTCCTGGCTGAACGGGGGCTCCTCACTTTCTGAGAAATCAACCCGACCTGGAGCCTTGTACTTGTTTTTGAGATCCTCGATCTCCTTCTACATCATTTCTCTGAGTTGGTCCATCTCGAACTAGATGCTGGACTTAGCTCATGACTGATCATTGACCTTCTCGCTTCGGGTCCTCTGCTCTACACAGTACCTTAGGTCACTTAAAGCCTTCTTCCTGTGAGGCATGGCTTTGCAATAGGAATGACGCATCTTGAGTACGCCACGC